GCCCCTCGAGCAGGGAAGCAGATCCCCAGGAGAATCGTGGCTGTGCAAGGGTACCGTCTTCAGCCTGCAGAGGCACAAGGGTGGTTGTTTTATGAAACTAGCTTTGTGGCTTTCAGCGCAGGACACTGAAGTGCTCATGTGCATCGGGAACTCTAGCAGCCTCGATTATGCCCGGCTCCTGAGAGGTTCGGGCGGGGAAGGCACACTGTAGCTCCAGAAGGCATCCTCCTCGCAGGATGCGGGACCCAGAGAAGTGCAGGCTGTGCAGTTTTCCCAGGGCCTGGGTTCCCCTGTGCACACAGTGCCTGGCAGCCTGCTGCCTGAGAAACAGGGGCACACTCGGGAGAACATGACGCATGACGGGGCAGCGCCTCCTCCTTCCTCTTCCTTAGGGCGAAGCCAACCGAGGTCAGCTGAGCCGACTGCACCAACTCTGCAGCCCAGCTCTGGAAAGTGCTGTGGCATCCGTGCTCCAGGAGGAGGGAGAAGGGTCTGGATGGCTGGGTGCGGGCAAGCCGACACCGCACCCTGCACGGACCTCCACCGATGCCCAGCAGAGGGGCCAGCGCTGGTGAGCGCTGGAGCGCTTGAGTCTCCGATGGGTGGACTTGCTGCTACCCCGCCACCCTGGAGAGTGCACCTTTCTGTGTCCTGCAGCCTGTGAAGGCGGCAGCGGGAACAAACATGCTAACTCCCCCACCCAGAAGTCTAACCCCAGATCTCCCTGACATTGCACAGTGGTTAGGAGCCTCAATTATGATGTCAGATCGACCAGCTGTGTTGGAGTCCCACGTTCAAATCCAGAGTCCTCTGCCTTGCTGTGTAAGACCTTGATTTTGTTCCTCTGGGCGCAGATGCTTTAATTGTTGTAAATCAGAAAAACAGTACCACCACAAGGCTGTCATGAGGACTGCAAAGCTCTCTCTCCGCGGGCAAGGGCTGATTGCTCAGTCCATGGAGCGGCTAGGAGGTGGCAGTGTCCACTGGTGTGCAGGCGTTTTCAGGACGGAAGGCTTCCTAGATGAGATTTGTAAAATGCCATGTTGGGACTTGTGTCTTCAACTCTTAGAAGGTCCAAGTCATCTCAGGGGCTCCAGACTTCTGCGAGAGATCTTCCTACTCTCCCGCTGTGCTGTTCGCTGTTTGCCGAGAGGCAATTTCCTTTTGGTGTAACAACTCCCCAGGGAGGTGGGCGTGGTCTCCAGAACCGGGGCAGCCAGGTGAGGCCACTTAGAAGGGCAGTGGTGGCTCAGCTGCAGGGCCATGTGCCCCTCTTACAGTCCCGCTATTTGGCCAGCCAGGCAGGGGTGCAACTCCACTAAAAAGGGTGTCACCAAAGACTGATCTGCCCTTTCCTCAGAAAGGAAAGAGTGACCGCGGTGCCTTGCTCAGGTCGGGCAGCTGCTCTGTTCAACTCTTCCTCTTCCCTTGGGCTCTGACTCTGGAGTTCTGGCCAGAGCCACGGCAAGCAGGCACCTACCCTTTAGCCTGGGCAGTGCTCGGTGAAGTCTGTTCTTTTGTTAGGGCATAACTGGTTGCACAGATGTTTTTAAGCTGCATTATGTGCCAAGTTCTACATTCGGCACCAAGGACACAGTGGCTATGGATTTGGACCCTGGCTGAAAGACAGAAATCAAACCAAGTCAGTCAGAGACGATGTCAGATCAGGATGGATGCTGCAGAGGGGCAGGCAGATGTGACAGCTAGTAAGGTCCAGACACTCAGCACTAGCGCTAAGGAAAGACTTTCCTTGCTGCTTTCCCCTGCCCCTGCCTTGCATGGCATCCCTGTCCCAGGGAAAGGAGAGGCAGAGGGGAAAGCACGCAGCTGGGGATGCACCTGCCAGGGATGGGGTTGCAGAACCAGGAGGTAGGGGAGCCTTGAGGTCCCCAGGTTTGCTACTACCGTGAAGGGGTCAGGAAGATGCCACTTTGTCTGGTAAGGGACTGCATGGGTAGTAGTCAGCAAGCCAAGGGGTCCCTCGGAGGGGGAGAAAATACTCAGAGCCAGAGCCACGCTAGAAGAGAAGGCTGGAAGTATACCCTGCACCCTTGCTGAGGCTGGGGTGGCAGTGGTGGCAGTGGCGCGCTGGATCCGTGAATGAGCAAGTGATGGGACACAGAAGAATGTCAAGCTACTCTCAGCATCAGCATCAAAGCTGGGAGGGGTGAGACAGAAAAGCCAACTTCCTGGGGTGCGGCAGGTGATGGTCCTGCACAAACTGGGCTCACAGGTTACCAGGAAGTATATGCGTGTGTGTGTGTGTGTGTGCGCGCGCGTGTGCATGTGTCAGTGCGGTTGCAGCTGTAGTTCTTTACTCCTCACCCCTGCTGGGACAATTCTGGTGTCACGGTCTCCCCTTACTTCTGGACCAGGAATGGGGTGGGGGTGAAGAGGGAAGGGTGGCCACCACTATCTAGGTGCCTTCAGACCCCTTCTGGACTGTGGGGACTGGTGTCACCTGTCTGCCTGAAACCTCTTAATAGACGAGAGTCTCTGGGAAGCAGTTTTATTCACTCCCTCAGCTCACATTTGGTTTGCTGAACTCTGCGGTACACACGACAGAGCTGGCCCCTGCCTGGAGAGAACTCACTGCTTTCCTGGTCCAGGCCCTGCATGGCTGGCATCCTATTAATTTTTGACACTTGATTCTGTTGTCCTGTGCTGGGGAAAACCAAAGGTGTTGGAAAGTTGGAAGGACCCGAAGGGTGAGAGTTCCACAGCTCTAGCTTCACTATTTCGTTCTACAAATCATTTGTGGGGCCCCAGATCCCTGGGAGTTGGTCTAAACGGGTCACCAACTGGTAGGGGCGGATGCACTTACAGGGTATAGTCTGGTAACCAGACAGTCAGGAGGTTGAGGTCCGGAATTAGGGTCGCCTGAACTCCAAAATCTCTACCCAGACAAAAGCACAAGGGTGCTGGGATCTCACCAGAACCAAAAACAGCTTCATCGGGTCAAGAACAGATGAGGCAGGCGCCTCACTTTTTTGCTGAGACTGGAAAACAATTTGCTTCCTTTGAGACTCAGTCTATCTGTTTGCAAAATGGGTGTGATAAGACATGCCCTGGCCAAATTGAGGTGGCCTCTTGTACAACGGATTTATGCTCCATAAATATCAGACCCTTTTGTGGCCACGTCTGCTGGTCAGAGATAGGTTCCTGCCTGCCACGGCCATGTAGGAGGGTTTTGGGTCCTGCTGCCCACCCCCCTCAGTTTGAGGAATATCTTTATTAAGGAGCACTTCAAGGTAAACTGGAGATGGAAACCAGATGTGGGATTGTGCTGCTGGCTGCGGGCGAAGACCAGAGACACGAAGGGGTGGGATGCGGTGGGGATCAGCCCCAAGAAGGCTGGAGGTAGAGGAGATGCACAAGCCACCTGGGGTACCCCGTGCATGCTGCCACCAACCCCCACATGTGCTCAAGCACTCAGGACTCTCATGTCTACTTTTCTGATGAGTTTTCCCCTTGGGTCTTCCTTAGCAGCATCTGTATCCCAATTTTCTACTGTGAAAATCAGGGGTCTCAAAAAAAAAAGAAAAGAAAATCGGGGGTCTCCATCTTTATACTCAGAGTTGCTGCAGGGTCATCCGCGATTAGCCCTGGGGACCAAAGGGGCTCTGTCTGTCAGGCAGTAAATTTTTTCTCCCCTGCAGGGTTGTGGTCCAGGGATTCAGGGCTGCAGGTTGGTGTGGAGAAAAACACCACAGACCAGACAGTCAGCCAAGTGGGGTACGCAGCTGCAGGAAGAAGGTTGTCCCACCTTCACTCCAGCAGTGGGCAGGCAACAGGACAGCCAGGAAAGCTTTGGGGCTCACCAACCTCAACCTAGTCTCCAGAGAGCAGGGAGGGCTGGGCGCAGAGGAGGAGACAGTGGCCAGGAAGCAGAGGAAGCTACCGGGAATCCCTCCCCAGAGGGAACTCAGAACCTCTGTCCAGTACCCTAAGGAATGGGAAACCCTCAGCAAGACCCAGAAGTGCCCTGTGCAGGATGACGGGGCCTGTGTGGGTTAATTTCACAGAAAATCTCAGAGTGGGGAGGTGAGATTGGAAACCCAGGGCAGGCAGCAGCCAGGCCACTAAATTCAGGCGCAAGTGTCAAAGGATGATAGGCACTGGCAGAACACTTGCGCATCTACTCCAAACGTCAAACCCTGTTAGGGTGGGGCTTTTTCTAACGTGTCATTAAAATTTGTATTATCAAAAAATAATAAAATTTCTATTATTTCAAAGCTCAGGAGTGGTGGCAAATGCCTGCTTTTCCAACACTCTGAGAAGCTGAGGCAGGAGGATCAGAAAATCGGAGTTCAGTATGGGCAATTTACAGAGACTTTGTCTCATAAAAAATTATTTTAACAAAGGGGAGGCTGGGATATTTAGCTCAGTGCAATGGCCTTGGGCTTGATCCCCAGTACCAAAACAACAAAAACTCAGTCAGTGTCCAGAGTCTGGATCCTTGGGGGTCCTCGCAGCTCCCCACCTTTGCCGAGAATCCACAGGCCCCCGGGCACCTCCAGGTTGAACCCTCTCCCACCGGCGGGTTAGTACCATCTCCTTAAGAGAGGAAAGGAGGGGGCAGGGGGCGGGTGGAAGGAGAACCGGGAGAAAGGAGGAGGGGAGCAGGAAGGAGCCAGTCAAGAAAAAAAATTTACTTTTTTTTTTTTTCCCCCTCGTCTCAAAACCTTAAGAGGGTTTGGGAGATCTGGTCAACTTTCCGAAACATCTGAATCTTTTTACAGCACTCCGTTCCTTCCCTGAGCCAGCTGTGGGTAGGAAGAAAGGAGAGAGAGCTGGAGACAGACAGAGAGAGAGGGAGGGGAGAAAGGGAGGAGAGAGGGAAGGAGAGAGAAAGACAGAGGCGCAGAGGGAGGAGGGAGCCCGCGCCCCGGCAGCCACCTCCCGCCTCTCCACCCGGCCCGGCGCGCGGTGGCGTCCTCGCGTCCTCGCGTCCCCGCGCCCTCGCCTGCGCCCCCGCCTCCCCGCCCGCCCGGCCAGGCATGAACGCGGAGACCTGCGTCTCTTACTGTGAGTCGCCGGCCGCTGCCATGGACGCCTACTACAGTCCAGTGTCGCAGAGCCGGGAGGGCTCGTCGCCTTTTAGGGGGTTCCCGGGCGGCGGCGACAAGTTCGGCACAACTTTCCTCTCGGCCGCCGCCAAAGGGCAGGGATTCGGGGACGCCAAGAGCCGGGCCCGCTTCACGGGCGGCGGCGCCGGCGCCGGGCAGCAGGACCTGGCGACGCCCCTGGAGAGCGGCGCGGGGGCGCGCGGCTCCTTTACCAAGTTCCAGCCGCCGCAGCCGAGCGCGCAGCCCCCGCCGAGCACGCAGCCCCCGCATCTGTACCTGCAGCGCGGCGCCTGCAAGACGCCCCCGGACGGCGGCCTCAAGCTCCAGGAAGGCGGCGGCGGCGGCGGCCACGGCCAGTCCCTCCAGGTCTCCTGCTACGGTGAGTGCACGTGCGGGACTCTGGGGCCCGGACCTCGGCGCCCGCGCACCCCAGCGCGGCTGGAAGCAGGCGGGAGGTGGTGCGCTGGGGAGGCGCGGGGGTGCCGGGATTAGGACGCAGGGATCCGGAGCTTTAAGGGGGAGGCCGGGGTCTATGCCTCCTTCGCACCTCCGGCCTGAGTCGCGCTGCTTTTGGTGATTAAAAGAGCCGCAGAGTTTGGATTTCACGGTGCCTTTGTCGTTTCACCAAACCGTTCGCCCGAGCCGCCCGCGGGGTCGGCTTGGACGCGGTGCTGCGCGTCCCGGGTCGTGGCGTTGCGTCCTCGGTCGGGGCGCGGCCGCGGGGGTCCGCTGGCTCCGGGCTGCCGGGCCTCAATCTCCGCGGGTCCTGAGGCTCCAGGCGCCGCACAGCAGGTAAGGGCGCCGCAGGTGCCGGTCCCTGTGGGGACTCCTGAACGCAGCCTGCTGAGAGCATGGACAAAGTTGTGGCCCCAGTGCGTGCGGTCAAGAGAGGACCACAGAAAACCCGAGTCCCGGGCCGGCTCGCGCCGGGCCAGCGTTCTCCAGCGCTTCTCTCTCTGCAATCTTTGGAAGCTGGCAGCCTCCTCAAAACAATGGTTTAGGACAAACCGGGCGGGAAGGCAGGAAATCTCAGGGCCCGGGGAGGCTGAGAGCTGTGGGAAGAGGGAGGAATGTAGGTCCTGACTCGGGCCCAAAGGGAACCCTAGGGAGCTGGCCCGAATGACCTCCAAGCCCCCTTGAACGCAACTCAGGGCACAGGCCTGCGCCCCCAGAGCGCAGCCTGCATTGCCGAGGAGAGAGCCGCTCAAGGGCGGCCTGAAAACGCTGTGGTTTAAGCGGTAGGCCTGCTTTAGCTTCGGGAGTCCATGGCTACGGAGCCCCAAAGTGGAATTAGGGTTATGAAAAAAGAAAGGGGTGTCTTCTCCGGGCCAGGAGCCCTGGCCACACTCTCCCAGGGCCTCGGCCTCTTTTCAGGCAGGGTCCTGGGTAGGATGAGCTTCTCCTTAGGCCTGGGGACAGAGGTGGGACAGAGGAGAGGACTTGGTGGCTTCGTCACCTCAGGAAAACACCCGTTAGTGAACTTCTTCATATTTAAACACTCTCCTCTCATACAGGCGAGAACAGGCGCATAGGTGGGCACTGACAGAAATATCTACATATCCGTGTACACTTGTATCACCTACACGCCGTGTCCACAAAGCCCTCCTTTATGAGTCTATGTGGTCAAAAACCAAGTACCACACTCAGGTGGCCTCAGACAAGCCACACACTCCCAAGTCTACAGGGCAGGGCTGAAAGCAGATTTGGAAACATCAGGATGGCCTTTCCGTGCTTCCTCTACCTTTCCACCTCCAGCTGGAATGAGATCAGGCCCTCCCAGCGCAGCTGCACACAGGTGCTCCCACCATGCACAGGCCAAGAGAACCCCAGCACCTGTGTTCCTGCCCCCACCCCCCTCGGGGACTGTGAGGTAGGAGTAGGTTCCAGAACAGAGGCCCACAGAGGTTCATTGCACAAAGTCAGAGGACTCACGTGTGTTCTCTCCCATTGCAGTGTTTTCAGATGTTAAAGACATTAACCACTGAGCCCCCTCCAACTGAAATAAAAGAGACAAGTGGCCCCCAGCTGTAGGTGAGAAGATGCTATCAGGTCTAGAGGAGGAAGGGGGAGGTTGGCACCCATCTGTGTGCTCTGCTGGGCCCTGAAGGCCAAGCTGGCCCTCCCTATACTTTCAGTAAGCATCCAGGCTGGAAGAAAGGACCAGCCACTGGACCCCAACTGTCATAACCCACAGCATGACCCAGGTGCAGCTAGCCACTAAGCTTCCAGATCTTCCTGGTACTCAGGGGCAGGAATAGAGAGGCTTCACTGGGTCATGAATGGGCCTGCTAAGAGCCCCCCTTCTCCACACTTCTTTGCATTGGGTCTCTGTGCTGTTTGGAGCACCCAATTCTACCACAGGCGAGTCCCTGCCTGCTGCTTCGGACCATGGCAGACCCCTCTCCCTGTGACCTAAGGTGGAGGCACTGCTTTAGACAGCCACCTTTGGCCACCAACACATTGTTCTATTCTCCGCCTCAGCATTGGTGTTTCCCTGGCCAGGAGATTTGTAATCCTTCTAGGAAAGAGATTAGACACACAGGGGTCCAAGATGGGAAGACAGAGGCAGGGAGAGCTAGGCTCTGTCCTTTACAGATGCAGCTAGGAAGAAGACCTCTGGAATTGACTTTCTAATCTGCAGACAACTTGGGAAACCAAGGCACACACTGACAAGAGTGCTCTCCCACAGCTGTGTAGATATCGGCTCCAAAGGGGAGAGAGGGCCAAAGAAATCCTTCGATGCTACCAGAGCTGGGCAAAGGCCACAGCGGCTTGGGTGCTAGGCCTGGCCTTGGCCGATCTCATCCCCGCCATAGGCAGCTCAGACCCTGAAAGGCTTCTGGGCATGGGCTCCGGGCCCCTGAACAGCTCCAGTCGGAATGGAGGCTCCAGTAAGAATGGAGGCTCCAGATCTCAGCTTTAAGGACTGCTTCCTTGGTCCAGGAGCATCTCCCTCTGGAGATGAGGATCAGGCAAGGGAGTGCAGCCCGGAGTTCTGCGCAGCTGGTCTTCCACAACTTCCCTGAAGAATGGCAGAGAAATCCTCCAGGGCTCCAAGAATCCCGAACCCACCCAGAGCCATCTTTTCCCCATCAGTACTAAAAGAGCAGTGATGAGACTGGTTCGCAGTTGCCCCGGGTGCAACGAAGCTAAGCTCGCGTTTGGGGAGGAACCCTACCGCGTCCCGCCCGAACCTGCCAGACTCAGTCCCTGCGCTATGTCCTCCGAAGTCCCGGCTGGAGCCCAAGAGACGCGCCAGGATGGAGGCCATTCGTTTCTGGGAGGTGCGGTGGTAGAAGAACCTCCTTATCGCCGTGCAGGGACTCCGGCATCTCGCCCCGCAAATCCTCGGCGGTCTCCGGCGGCGCGGGCTGCTGCGGGGAGCTGCCCTGTGCCCTCCTCTTTCGCTTTCGATTCGGCCTGCGCAGGTTTTCGTTGCGCGCGGATTCCTACCTCCACATCCGCCGCCGCTGGAGAGTCCGAGAGTCGCGCTCTTCTCAAGGCCACCGGAGACTCTGGCCAGGCCTGATCCTCCGGCGCCGCCGAGGGATCCCGCCAGCCCTGATTTTTCCAATTAGACCCAAGGTTTACATGTTAAGAGCGTGCGTTCCCATCCCCTCGCAGCAGCAGCCTGCACACCACCGAAGGAGTGCGCTCTGAAGGAGTCGTATTTGAATTTAATCGACGAATCAGGATGTTGTGTATATGAAATCCAAAAAATACAGAGACAAATGGGGACAGTCAGAAGCAGTAGAAACCCTTGGACGACTGTAGGAGGATCCAGGAACACTGGAGTGTGGGCACCGAAGTCTGGCGGCCACCCCCAGCTAGTTTTGCAGGGGAAGGAAGATGCTTTTAATTTTTTACTTCGCTAATTTCCATAGCCAGCAGCCTGCTCAAACAATACAACCCAGGCGCCGACTATCCGAGCTAAAAAAAACAAAAAAACAAAACAAACAAACAAAAAAAAACCGGAGGGCTTCCGTTTGCAAGTCCAGTATCATTTTGAATCAATCAACTTGGGCACTATTTTATTATAATTAATAATTTAAATGGAAAATTTGAAGAATTGCAAGGGATGCGCGGAATACCTTAACTATCACCCAGGTCAAGATACAGACCAGGTACAAGCCGGATTTATGCATGAAAAGTTTGGAAGGGAGAAAGTTTTGTACATTATTTTAAGAAAACTTCAGGAGTGATTGGGAGCCCCGAGGACGGCCTTGATCCTGGTCGTAGTGTGTCTGACCTTGTATGCAGGAACTGTTGCGCACTCCTGGTTCTAATACCAGGTGGCGACCCGCTGTGTGGAGAATGTTGCCGGGGCGCCAGGCTACCCCGAGCCGTGGAAGCAGAGCGTCTGTAATTGCGACATGCAGTTCAGGCTGTGGCAGGAAAACAAGTGAAAGCATCATTTGTAGAATCTCTCCGAAGTCTCCCGAGCTCTTTGACCTGGAAGGGTAGCTCGGCTCATTTTTCTGGGGCTTTATCCTGGCCTCAGCCTTTCTTCTCTTTGCACGCATCCAAATGGGTGGCAGGTTGAAATGTGAAATGGAAATACGTCTCTACATCTGAGGCTGTCAGAAATGAGGGGAAGGTGGTGTCTTGTGTCTCTGTCACAGTGGGGCTTCGTCTGCGCCCACCTCCTGAGTTTGGTGCCGGGAGAGGAGGGCACAGCCTCTAGGAAACAAGCACACCTCATGGGCAGCTGGGGGGAAGGTTCTACGGGGAGCCTGGAATCTAGTGTGTGCTTTGGGTAGGTAGCGGAGCAAGTGAGTGAGTGCAGCCAGGGAGGATAGAAGAGAGTTCCTGATTGGGGGGGGGGCGCTGCAGGCACCACAGTTGCTCCGAAGCCTTCAGCCTGCAAACTCCTGCTCAGGAAGCTGAAGAGACCAGGCCAGGTCAAGGTTCTAGGTGGAACGAAGAGAATGCCTTCCTGCCAGTGGGCACTGGTGCTGCTGGCCATGCGCGCCTGCACAGCGCGGTTCTCCAGGTCTGGCTGTGAAGGATTTGGGCCCCCCTTGATGACAAGGAAGGTCATCAGATTGGAAAACCAGGACATCTGGACTCTGCCTGTGGTGGCACTGTCTGGCCAACCCAGAGGGGAGGCCAGCGGTGCCCCCTTGCTCAGAAACAACGTGGCATTGCCCTCAGTGCTGCTAGGCAAGTAAGAAGAGGTCCCATTGCCAGACGAGCTGGAGGGAGCGGAGGAGGGCCCTCACGCACCCTGGCAAGTCCTGATCGATGTCCTCCAATTTCTTTTTTGAGATCAGAGTGACTGGTGGCCTTGCGACCTCCCCAGCCAGAGGCTCAGCCTAGTGCGCCTCTCTGTTGTTCTGTAAATGGGTGACTACCCCGTCTCGTCTCCCAGTGCAGAGG